CTCATCATCTATACACCTCAAAACCTTCCACAGCCTCGGTGTTCCTCATCATCTATACACCTCAGAACCCATCCGCAGGGTGGACCACTTGTGCTTTTTACCAAACTCCGTGATGTTCGCGGTGCCATACCTGCTGGGCGAGGCCTTCCCGACTCTCAGTTGAGCTGAGCAGAACCCGGCGGTTCGCCACTGCTTCCCCGTAAGGCACGGACTCTGCGAGGGGCTGGGGGAAAGCGCAGGGGTCGTGAAAGGGTCCACACACAAAGTAAGAACGCTGAGAAGCGTGCGTGCGCCATAGACCACGCCGCTTGCCAACACAGACCGCGTCCTTCCTTACGTGTGAAGAGAAAAACGCATTTGAAAAGGAGAATGGAGACAGGACATCGTCATGGCAACTGCACACCTCTCCAACTCGAGCTCTGTGCCCGTGTACCAGAACACAGGCGGAGGCAGGACAGGAAACAGGAGCAGATAAAGCACAGACAAACCTCCTGTGACAAACGCTGCTTCCCGCTCAGTGAAGACAGGAAGGCCTGACAGGGCCAGGGACGGCCAGAGAAAGAGCAAACAAACAAACAAACAAACAAACAGGAAAAAGACCTGTTGAATAACATAGGATCAAAACCCGTAGGGTGGTGAATGGCTCAGCAGGCTAAGACACTTGTTATCAAGGCTGACAACCTGAGTTCGATCCCAGGACCCACGTGGTGAGGGGGAGGACTCCTCCAGGTTGTCCTCAAAGTTCCACATACATGCCACGGCACGTGCGCACTGCTCCCACCTCAGCCATTCAAAACACGTAAAACCTAAAATTCTCTATTCTAAAAAAATATATTTTAAATACCATACCAAAACGGTAGAAAATATTTTCTATATAAACACGAAACATGATTAAAATTCTTAATGTAGAGTATCCAGGAGAGGTAGGGATGGATATGTCCTTGGCACATTATATGTATGTAAGAACTGTCAAGGAATAAATTTAAAATATTCTTTAAAATTCTTAATATATAGGGAACTCTTTCCATTTTAGCTAGGAATTTTTATTTTAAAACAGACTTCAACAGAGAACAGACAGAACAAATGATGACCATGAAAAGCCACCCTATCTGACTCGTCAACAGAGCCATGCACATGAAAACAATACGGAACTGCTCTCTGAGCCAGACGAACACCGAGCTTATGTATAAACAGGTGGCAGTCCTGAGTGTAGTCTGGAACACTGAACTAGTAGAAGTAGAAAAAAAATGAAATATATTTATAATTTTTTCTAACTATAGCAAGAATATGTGGTCACTGAAAAAAATCAGAAAATGAAGCAACACATTATTTTACCTCTAATCTTACCACCCACATGTGACTCGTCTCTTTGTTAGACTATGTCTAAATGCAAAACACTGACTGAAGTACATGTGTACACAGAGACTATGAAATCAAAATGTATCTCCTGTTTGAATGTATTCTTTTAGAGGCTTCTACCACCCCCCCCACCCCACCCCCTGATGCATTGTATATATTCCATACATATTTTATACACAAAATACATATGTATGATATAAACCATTATTAATGATTGTAGCCATGGGCCACTACCCCTGAGCTGACGGTCATTATTCTGATGGCTCTCTAGTATTTCATTCCATGAATGTGTAATGGTTTTCACTGTTGTATGCAGTGCTACATGTAGTGAGTATAGTTTGTGTTTTAGCGTTTCTACTACACATATAAACAGTCTTAAAGTAGAACACTCCAGGCAAATCAGCCATGATTTCAGATTCATTTCAGGGGTAACCATAATTACCAGCTTGATATGTATGCCTGGGCCCTTTGTACATTTATAAGCATTTCTATAGATCTATGCACATTGTATAGAATTTCTTGCCATTTTCTTAAACCTAAGTTCCACTCTACAATTTGCTTTTTGCATTGTGAATATTTCAGGGATCTGTCTGTCACTCTGTATGCGGTACCCACTGGATTCCTGCCTGAATGAAGCATAGAGTTTTATACTACATGAAGAACGCTTCATGGTTCATTGAGGTTTCCTTTGGCCGATGAGCACTGAGCAGCCAATCCTGACTTTCCACCATCTACAGCATTAACACTGCTGTAGCCCCTGTAAACACCCTGCAGGTACATGTGTGGACCACTAAGAGTCGGATGCTTGCCTGACTTACAGTTCTCCCACCCCATCTCTTCTCGGGGGCAGCCCTAGCCATGTGTAAGGGTAGCTGGCGCCCTAGAGCTGTCTGACTGGTGTCTTGATGACTGATTCTGCAGAAGAGAACCGCTGACTGAAAGTCTATTCCAAAAGAAACACAGAAAGGACATGCTTGCAGTGGTGCACACCCCAACCCACGATCCCAAGCAAGCACACGAGTGACTGTTAGCAGCCGCACACAAACCTGTCTCAAAGCCTTCATGTAGGCAGCAGCCTTCTTCTTGTACCGTAGCATGCATTCAGCTGAAAGGGGACTAATGAATCCACTGGCTGTCTTGGGCCCATAGCTCAGTGAAGCAATGAAGTAGTCCACGTTGTTGCTGAAGAAGGATGCAATCTAAACACAGCATGACAAGAAAGCATTCTGTTTTCCAACAGTGATCTAAATACTGACCTCACAGTTCTGCAGTGGTTTGAACGAGAATGGCCCCCTAGGTTCCTATGCCTGAATGTTTGGTCCCCAGTTAGCGGAACTATTTGGGAAGGATTAGGAGGTGTGGCCCTGTTGGAGAAGTATGGACTTGTTGGAGGAGGGGTGTCACCAGGGGTGTAACTGTAACTTTCAGCTCATACGTAAGCTCTCAGCTATTGCTCCAGTCCCACACCTGCCACCAAGTTCCCCACCAGATGATCAAGGACCAGCCCTCTGAAACTGTAAGCTCGCCCACCCCAGTTAAATGCTTCCTAAATTACCATGGTGCTTCATCACAGCAATCCAACAGTGACTAAGACAAAGTCTCAGAGCAGTCTGAATGGAAATGAAATTTCAACACCTGACCCAAAGCCTGCACCTATGTATTTGCAAATACCTTCACAATGTGTGATATAAATGAGACACCCAGTAAATGAGAAGACTTCAGACACACCCGCTCTGTTTAGTTTCTGTCCCTCTGTAGGTGACTGACTTTCTTTTTTGAGACAGGATCTCACTATGCAGCTTTGGTTGGCCTAGAACTCACTATGGAGACCAGGCTAGCCTTTATCTCACAGAGATCAGCCTGCCTCTGTCCTCAAAGTGCTTGGATTAAAGGTGTGTACCATGCCCAGCTATTTCTCATAAACTATAACTTCTGTACTGGTCTCAAACTATCTATGTTTGGGTTTTTTTTTTTATGTTAACTTTGAATATCTCATATCCTAACAGAATAGATACAACATAAGCAGTTAGACATGTACTCTCTACCTAAACTTAGGTCTGTGAAATCTTAACTTGTTAATAGAACAGAAAACAAGACTAAACACGCAGATTCTTGTCATTCATGGATTTAGTATTTGTTCCGTCTATGTAGCAGCTACAAAGACCCTAACATAATTTTGCTGAGCTATGATTTTGAATTCTACAGTGCTGCACGAAGTGGTGATATAAAGAAATGTCTGGCTAAATATCCTTGCTACAAAAAGAAGTCCTGGATACACTAGCGGGTATTCTATCTTGGTTAGTATGAGAAAGTGACTTGTGCAGGTTCTACCTTGACAAACATTGCTCAAAACTAAGCAACCAAACTGTAATCATCTACATGCTTTACGTATCTTTTATTTTTTATACAGTATCAAGTAAACCTCAGGGTAGGTACTATACGGCCCACGTGAGTGAACATTTAGTCACGGGTGGTGGTGTTTGGAGGCTGTGGAAACGTCAGGGTATGGGGTCTTGCTGGAGGAAGCAGCCCCTGGGGAGGACCTCATGGTAACAGGCCTGCTAGTCCCTGCAGGTCTCCTGCCTCCTGCCTGCAGATGCGATGTCACTAGCTCCACGGGCCTCACTGCCACGGACCCACCACAGCAGATGTATCTCCTCACACCATGAGCCAAACACAGCAAGAGACATTCCAAAGTGGACAGGGGAAAGACCATGAGGCCTCAACCCCACACAAAGAACTCCAGGCAACTGAGGAAGGCTCGGAGCGGGAGAAATGGTCCTCCCCAGGGAAGAGCACACCAGTTGGTGACCCGATACCGGTGGTCAGCCCTGAACACACACATGTATAACATTATACAGACTGAGGGCAGCCGTGGGAACCCTCCTGGAGTAAGTACCCTGACACCCAGGAGAGTGGGAGAGACGCGATGTCACCGGGGGACTGGAGCCAGCTCCTGAAGGCCTCAATCCCAGTTTGCACTCTCTTTGTATACTGTCAACACAAGTGGGGTGGTTTTTATACAGGTATACATGGCCGTGGGCAGGTTGTGAAGGACAATCACCCACGGTTCGGCATTTCTCCAGGTCACTCTGTCCCGGGGAGCAGGTGACGGCATGCTTGGAAAAAAGGCAGTATAAGCAGTGTTTTAAGTAAATCACTAAACAGATCAATAAATCAGTATCTAGTAACTGGTCTTTTCTTCCTTACTCTGCTTCATGAGCAGGTTATACTTAGGGATAGATTCACATGTAACAATAATTAATGAAAAAGGAGGCCACGGATGTGGAAGGGAGCAAAGAGTGGTGAATAAGAGGGTTTGAGGGAGGAAGGGAAGAGAGAAATGAGGTAATTACATCATAATCTCGAAAATAGGGCTGGAGAGATGGCTCAGAGGTTAAGAGCATTGGCTGCTCTTCCAGAGGACCTGAGTTCAATTCCCAGCAACCACATGGTGGCTCACAACCATCCGTAATGAGATCTGGTGCCCTCTTCTGGAGTGCAGGGACACATGCAGGCAGAATACTTATAAACAATAAATAAATCTTTTAAAAAAAACTCAAAAATAAAGCAATGAAAAACTAAACCTCCTCTCCATTTAATGTTTCCTGCAGGCCATCTGGTCACAGATAAGGAAACTATCTAATCCAGGTAGTGTTCGATAGAATCAGTGCTCAGTGCTCAGGGCTGGGGCGGGGTGGCTCAGGGGTAACGCGGTCTGCTGCCCAGCCTGATGACCCGAGTTCAACCCCCAGGGTCCACGGGTGGAAGGAAAGTCTCACTCCCACAGGCCGTCCTCTGACCTTTCCAGCTGTGCCAGAGCATGAACGCTCCCCGGCAATATTTTATTCTAATGAATTCTTCCACCATTTTTGTGGAGAGTGTGTGTGTGTGTGTGTGTGTGTGTGTGTGTGTGTGTGTGTGTGTGTGTGTGATGAAAAACCAGAAGAGAACTGTTTAGGGGAGGGAAGACACCAGGGGGAGAGGAAGGCACTGGGGATAAGAGGGAATGTGGGTGAACACTATCAAAGAACAACGACAGATGTGTGAGAAATATCACAATGAAACCACTGCTTTGTATCTAAAGTAAAAATGAAAACTACTTTGGAAGGTTTAAAAGACAGTGAGTGACCCACTCATTCACCATAATGCTGAACAGCGTTTTAAATATTGTACAAACAGTTCAACTGAAGAAAACTTGGGGAAAGATATTGGGTAATGGTGAAAAAAAGTAAAACATTGTTTTAAAAAAGAAAAAAGGAAAGACCTTAAGGTTTGGGGATGCAGCCCAGTGGCAGAGTGGCTGCCTACCATGCCCAGGACCCTGGTTCAAGCCTAGCCTCCTCCCTGTCCCTGCCACACACACGGACAGACCTTATACCCACAATCCTTGTACAGATCCATTTTCTGGTCACTTTTTCAAAGGAGCACATTCCAGGGCTGAACTGAGGTTGGGCTAAGCCGGGCACACTGACCTTCCCGGCTCCGTTCGTTAGAGCCATTGCTGACGACAGGACGCAGTCATTAGTGGTTACCAGCTTCTGAGTTGCTGTTGGGAGCTCATGCTCTATGGAGGCCTTCTGACTGTAATGTTTGGAAATGTCTGTAAGAAAACCAGTGAGATGCAAACATTACTATTTACATTCCAGTCGCACGCCGCTAGCCAGCCTGCTCCATTCTCACAGCTGGGCTTCCAGGTTTACTAAGTGCATTTGAAAGCAATGATCCCAAGGATCAAGACTGTGCTGTATCAGCTGACCACAAAATGAATAGGAAGTGGTGTGTGTGTGTGTGTGTGTGTGTGTGTGTGTGTGTGTGTGTGTGTGTGTGCGCGCGCACATGTGTCTGTCTGAGTACATGCACACATGCGTGTACAGGTGCACAAGGAGGCAGAAGAGGGTATTGGAGCCCATGAAGCTGGAATCACAAGCATTTGTGAGCCACCTGATGTGGGTGCTGGGATTCCACTGGTCCTCATGATGGAGCAGCAAGTGCTCTTAACCACTGAACCACCCCTCCAGCCCCTGTATGCAGCTCTCAGTACAGTTCTCTATTCAGAGAAAAGTGACAGAGACTCTCTGTATCCCTCAGCCAACTTTCCATCTTATGTAAGTATTTTTGTTTCAGTACGAGGGGTCAAAACCAGCCCAGCAAGCTCTACCTCTGAGCTCTAAGGATGACCTTTCAGTTGTCACTATGAAGGCACCATCAGATTGGCACATTACTATTATATTCAATATGTTTGAAAATAAATGATTCTCCTCTACATATTCATAGGATATCCAAGTACATAAAAATTCAGTCAACATGTGCTATAAAACTTGCCAGCCCCTAAAGCAGACATTTTCTTGCTTCGTCGACTGAGAATGTGACTCGATAGTTGGCTGAAACCATGGGTACACAGTCCCCTGGCGGGCCGCCTTGGTCGGAAGGCCCTTCCGGTGCTTGTGACACAGATGCCACACGGAGAACGAGGCCACTGCGGCGGGCTGCAACTCTCCCAGGGCTGCTGTCGTCTCCTCACTAGATCCAGAGGCTTTCCTTACTCAGGTCTGTCCTGACATCCAATGTAACTCCAAAAAATCCCACAGGAATGACATGACCTAAACCATAGGCCTTTTTCCTTGTATATTCCTCGGTCTCCTATGAGGCTCCTTGCATCAGAGCTCCCAAACGAAAAGCAAATAATCCTCCCACACACAACACTATCAAAAGATCAATTCGCTTGCATTTTACCTAACGCTGTGTGTGCGTGCGTCTGTGTGTGCGTCTGCGTGTGTGTGTGTGTGTGTGTGTGTGTGTGTGTGTGTGTGTGTGTGTGCATACATCCATAGCATGTATGTGGAGATCAAGTGACTGTCTGAAGCAGTAGACAGTTCTCTCCTATTATCATGTGGGTCCTAGGAATCAAATTCAGTTCTGGTGATGAACACTTTTACCCTGATTCTACATAAAAAACACATTTTGATAACTCCTGTGGTGGTTTGAAAGAAAATTAACCACCAGAGGGAGTGGCAGTATTAGGCAGTGTGGCCTTGTTGGAGGAAGTGTGTCGCTGTGGGGGTGGGCTTTGAGGTCTCCTATGATCAAGCCACACCCAGCGTCTCACTTTACTTCCCATTGCCTACAGATCAAGATGTAAGATTCACAGTTCCTGCTCCAGCACCATGTCTGCCTGCATGCTGCCATGTCCACCATGAGGACTGATAATGGACTGAACCTCTGGAACTGTAAGCGAGTCCCAATTCAATGTTTTCTTTATACGAGTGCCATGGACATGGTGTCTCTTCACAGCAATAGAGCCCTAAGACCACTCCCATGCTTTTTTACACTAACAATATACCAACCCAACTACCTGAACTTCCTCCCTGCGTCCAAAGTAGACCAAGCAATTATTATTCCTGGAAAAGCAGGAGGGTATAAAGTTGCCACAAAAGTTGTCTTAAAAACCAAGGTTCCGCTGGGTGGCGGTGACGCACGCCTTTAATCCCAGCACTCGGGAAGCAGAGGTAGGAGGATCTCTGTGAGTTCGAGGCCAGCCTGGTCTTCAGAGTTCCAGGACAGGCTCCAAAGCTACACAGAGAAACCCTGTCTCAAAAACAAACAAACAACAACAAACAAAAACCCAAGGTTCCACCAGGCATTGTGGTGCAGACCTATAATTCCGTACTCAGGAGGCTGAGGCAGGATCACAAATTTGAAGCCAACCTAGGCTGCAGGATGAGATCCTGACCAAAACAAGAAACAAAAACACCTAAACAACAACAGAAAGATGCTTCTGCTAATGCCTGTTAACACGCACTCTGCATTCTCACGACACAGCAGTCTTCCAAGCTAGGGAAGGAGGCAGGCTGAAACTGTAACCCTAGCAACGAGGCCCTATAATCACTTTCCAGCATCCTTCACGTTTCCCATTTTCTTTTTTATGTTCATTTTCAAGAGCAGAAAGAAGTTTGAAAATGTCATACTGAAACTCATTATTTGGCACACTAAATTAAAAACTAGAAATAAGCCAAAGGAGGAGAAACACGGGGCCCAGGAGGTCCCGACTCTCCCACAATCTCTCACCAAACCGGAAAAAAGACACACTTTGTCCTGGGCCACTCAGCAGCATCCTGACCTCAGGAAATGTACAAACAAAGCATGCTAATGTTTCTAAATCTTTTCAGGTCCTTAGGATGTAACTGCTGAATCAGAATAGCAATATAAATAAAGACATTATGACATGCCAATCTTGAGGGGGCATTAATTATACCCCTACACATTATACAAAACACTTCCACATTAAAAAACTATTTCCTGTAAAATTAGTCACTAACTCTCAACAGCACAGGGAGCCGTCCAGGCACCTGGGCCGAGACCCTTCCAACAGCTCCTGCACCTTCCCGCTTCCCACGTTTCAGAAGGGAAAGCGGGAGGGGACGGGGCTTCTAGAAGCAACACAGAGCCACAGATGATTTTCAACTCAGAGTGGCTCAAGAAGTGTAAGAAAAGCCTTAAAAGGCTTGGGAGGCAGAGGCAGGCGGATCTCTGTGAGTTCAAGGGCAGCCTGGTCTACAAAGTGAGTTCTAGGATGGCTAAGGCTACACAGAGAAACCCTGTCTCGAAAAACTAAAAAAAAAAAAAAAAGGGGGGGGGGCTTCCTTCCCAACCCTTTAGCCAACTATGTTCTTAAAAGCACAGAACCAAATAAGAACTGAGCAAGACCTTAAAACAGAGATTTATTTATTTTTATTTATTTCTTGACACAGGGACTGTCTCTGTAGACCAGGCTGGTCTAGAGCTCAGAGATCTTCCTGCCTCTGCCTCTCAGCGCTAGAATTAAAGGTGTGAGCTACCACTCCTGAAACTTTATTCCTTAAAGTTAGGCTCAACAAGACCAGATTTAAAACAGGCATTTTAGCCGGGCGTGGTGGCGCACGCCTTTAATCCCAGCACTCGGGAGGCAGAGCCAGGCGGATCTTTGTGAGTTCGAGGCCAGCCTGGGCTACCAAGTGAGCTCCAGGAAAGGCGCAAAGCTACACAGAGAAACCCTGTCTCGAAAAAACCAAAAAAAAAAAACAGGCATTTTAAATACCAAAATATGAGCTTGGAAAGTAGCTCAGTGTCAGAACACTTAAATATAATGTACAAGGTCCAGGGTTCGATCCCCAGCACTGAGCAACGACAAAACAAAACAAAACCATGGACGCTAGGGGAACGCTGGGCAGGTGGTGCATGGCTACAGCCCTGGCCTTCCAGAGGTAGAGGCAGGAAGATCACAGGCTAGCTGGAACTACATAGAGTTCCAGGTAGCCAAGACCACACAGTGAGACTGTCTCAAAAAGATAAACAGACCAACCTCCGCAGGACAACGGTGCACTGGTATACTCTTTCCAGACACACTGGCCTCCGTTCCCTTACTTCCTTCCTGCTGCAGCCCTAACAAGTGTAGCAGGTTTTGCCGAGTGCCCCTGAAGGGCATGTCTGGTGTGGCCCCCACCGCCCCCACCCGGGGTCAGATCTGGTGAAGCTCTGAGCGAAAGACCACCTCCCCTCAGCACCGCGTTCACTTTCAGAAGAGAAGCAACTGGAAGAGCAGAAGGCCGCGCTGTGCGCTTCCACGAACACCAAGTGCTGCTCAGCCTTTTCTGGGTCTGTAACCCTTGGCAGGCAGATCTGGAAAATGAAGGTTTCCTCGGACTCGGGTTCTGGTTCAAGGCTCACCTTTCATGACGTCATGAAACCCATGCAGAGCAGCGCCGAGGTTGGTTAAGACGGAAGTGTAGTTTGCCCGAAGGAGCCCATCTGGGTCTGTACCTGGGAAAGCCAGACACGAGACGTGTGAGCATTTCCCCCAAAGCTCACCGCCCACCTTCTTCCATGCCCCGGGGACCACAGAGAAACAAGTCTGCTTGTCAGAAAGAATGGCTCCAAGCCTCTGCACATACGTTCATGAATGGTGGTAGGGAATGCAGGCACATCTAACTGATAGGCATCTCTCGGCACACTTTTTAATGATTAAGAAGCCAAAGGAAGGCCAGTAAAACGGCTCAGCTGGTGAAGGCATTGCCATCAAGCCTGGGGACCTGAGCTTGATCCCAGAATCCTGGAGAGTGGAGAAAACTGATTCCCACGAGTCGTTTTCTGACCTCCACAGTGTGGCAGAAGCATGCCTACACCCTACCCCCTCACACACAAACGCATAGCTACACATATCCTGCACATGTGTGTGCACACACCCCTACACACACACACACACACACACCCCTACACACACACACACACATACACACACACACACACACACACACACGAGAAAATCAGTAACAACTCAGAAGAAACAGCACAAGTCTGTGACAAGTCTCACACAGCCCAGCACACAGCCGTCCCTCCCTCTCCTGTCTCCCAGCCACGGCAGGATTTCTCCTCTTCCTCCCACCAGTGGCTGCTGAGGCCAAGTTCTGATCAAGTATGGCCAAGAAGTGGGGAGGGGTTCCTTCCCTCACCTAAGCCCCTACTTCTGAGACGAGACTCTGCCTTGAACAAGGGCTGCTGAGAATGTGTGGTCCTTGTCACCACTGCCGTGGCTCATCACCGGGAGTTCCACTCTGAAAGAGGCGAGCCAAAAGACCCCATGTGGCTGTGACACTACTGTGCCCAACACGTGGACGTGGCTCTGAGAGTTAGCTCTAGGGAGGAGCAGCCTTAGGTTCAGGCCTTTTCTCAAGGGAAATGATTTCACTTGCAATATGTGAGAAGTTCAAGCTGTGGTTCTCCAGGAGAGAGAGAGAAGAAACACCAATTCATTAAACTAAACTACAGGCTGTGAAAAGGAACAGGCCTCCTGGGGTCAAAATTACAAACACTAACCTCAAAAATGCTATGAGCTAGTTAAATGTTACAACTCGAAAGGCATCTGTATTTAATGCAATCAACCTCTGAGTGATGCATGCCCCAAGGCCTTCCGAAAAGCCCAGAGCAATTACCCATCCATGAGAGGAGCTTAAGCCAGGGTCTGAGTAGGAAGGCCAGTGTGAAGGAGGGCCCTTCAAACCACGGCTCTGAAAACTACATTCTTAAAGAAATAACTGCTTGTGGATCAGAAGGCCCAAGATGGCCACACTCTCTATGTTTCGGCTCTGAAAACTACATTCTTAAAGAAATAACTGCTCGTGGATCAGAAGGCCCAAGATGGCCACACTCTATGTTTCCTGGGCTATTGTAACAAAGTACCATGAATAAGAAATTGACATTGTAGTAACCAACAAGCCAATGCTACAATTCATATAAGGGATCCTGAACAACTGAAACAATCTTGAAAAAGAAGAAGGGAGAGAATTGTCACTTCCTCATCTCAACTCTCTACAAAGCGACAGTCATCAAGATGGTGGGTGGCTGGCACAGGAGAGAGACAGTGATCGGGGACACCCGCTCGGAGTCCAGGAGTAGACTCATCACATTCGGCCAGCTGGCTTTCAAGGAGGGTGCAAGCCCATTTAACAGAAAGAACTGTCGGCAAATGGACTGGGGGCTGGGCAGCCACAGGAGAGGATGGGCCAGCCCTCACCTTCCGCCACACACAAATGAACTCCACATGGATCACAGACCCGAGTGCACAATACAACTGTAGAACTCTTAGAAGAAAACACATCTTCACAACTTCGGAATCGATAAGAAGTTTTTAACATACGAAGGAAAAGCATGACCCCCCCAACAGAAAGAAAATAACAGGTCAACAGATAATTGGGTCTCATCAAAGTCAGAAACCTCTGTGCTTCAAAGGATGCTGTAGGCAAAGTGAGAAGGAAGCAGAAGAAAAGCCGTCAATCAGATATCCAACAAGACACCTGACTGTGGAACGCAGAGAGGACTGTTATTTCTCCACAACAGGAAGACAAACAACCCAACTGAAAGTGAGGAAGACATCCAAACAGATTTTTCACTAAAGTAAATAAACAAACAGGCCAAGGGGCATCTGGCACATCTGGACAGAGGGAAGGGCCAATCAAACGCAGTGAGTCACTTCAGAGCCACTAGGAGGCCGAGGTCAAGTCCTGTGACAGCAGAAGTTGGTGAGGACATGGCGAGTTCAACTCTCACACAGCAGCAGAGAAGCAAAGGACGGTGCTTTGGAAAAGAGCCTCGGTAACTCCTCCCACAGTTCAGTGTCGTTACCTTATGATCCAGCATGTGTACGCCTAGGGACAGATGTGTGCCCCAGGCCCCAAAGAATGAAAAGATAAGTCCTATAAAGGCTTAAACATTAATATCTGTAGCATCCTTATTCTTAATAGTCGAACAATCCAAATTTTAATAGATATACATATACTGTTTGGTAAATCTAAACAATGGAATAGTATTCTGCAATAAAAAGAATAGAGTAAGGAAGGATACATGCTATGTTTTGCATCAATCTTGTATGCTTTATTGCATGAAAGCAAGAAAACACACCAAACTACATACAATGGTACCCTTTATGAATCTGGTAAATCTGGAGACAGGAAACGGAAAAGTAGCTGCTTAGGGCTACAGCCAGGAGGAATGGCAGAATAGGAAGCCACAGCTAAAGACTAAAGGGTTTCTTCAGGGGACGGGAATGGTTTAAATGGCCTGCCCCGAAGGCCCGCATCAGTGAGTGCACAGAGAGCTACTGGCTTGGACTTTCAATGGGGAAGAGGTACAGTAGGTAACAGAATAAAAAAGACAAAAACCAAGCACTTTTATGCTATCATTTATATGCTGGAATAGAAGTTTCCTCCTCCCTCCCTCCCTCCCTCCCTCCCTCCTTCCCTTTTACAGCCAAAGCTGGCCTTGAACTTGGGAAACTGCCTCAGCTTCCTGAGTTCTGAGAACACAGATGTGACCCCAGGCCTAACTAAAACCATGGATGTCTTTAAAACATCATTAAACTGAGGTCCATTCAATTTCCTCAGTGTCTTTCTCTAATTAGGTGAAAAGGAAACAATGGGTATCTTTAACAAAGGGTCCCGATGCCCCCTGCGGCTTCCGCAGTCAAGTGGCCTCACCAACTGTCCTGATTCACCCTTCTCCACTTAAAAAAAAGAGGAGGGGGGTTTACATTCAATGCATGGTTAGTGACCTTAACTTTGAAATACAACATTCAACTCCTTTACTCCTTAATTGCATTACCTCTGCTCACTGAATGCCAGCTCTTATGCCCTGCTCACTCTCCCAAGCTAAACCATGTCCCTTTTCCAGCTCCTTGTCCTCTTGGGTCCTTCCAACTGAGTCCGAGCGGCAGTCTTACTTACTGGGCAGGGCCAGGAGGGTGATGTATGTCTGCAGCTTTTCAAACACAGCCGTCATCCGCTTCATGTCCTGGGACAGATCCAGGTTCCTGGCTCTCAGTGCAGGTGTGCAGAGGGAAGATTCACATTCTTCTTCTAAACTAGGAATGGCAGGGTTTCAAAGTGAGCATCCTGGATGACTTTCTTTTCCTTTTTTTTTTTAAATAGAAGATTCATTTTTTTTGTGTCTAAATGTTTTATATATGTGTTTATATTATATTATATATATATATAACTTTTTTATTTGTCTAAATGTTTTGCTTGCATATATGTCTGCGTACCATTCGTGTGTCTGGTTCCTGGGGAGGCCAGAAGAGGACAGTGTACCCCTTGGAGCTGGCGTTACAGATGCCGGGGAGCTGCCTTATGGATGCTAAAAATCAAACCCAGGTGCTCTGGAAGAACAGAACGTGCCCTTAACCACTGAGTCTCTCCAGCATGAAAGCAGTATATTTTGAAGCATTAAAGTTATTTTTTCAAAAAAGTTATTTGTATGTCTGTGTGTGCGCGTGTGTCCGTGTGCCACAGCGCAGATGCGGAAGTCAGAGGACAACCTGCTGGGTCTCGCCTTCCACACTGAGAATCTCCACAGGCCTGGCAGCAGAAGTCTTTACCTACTGAGTCATGACCCTGGACCATATTAAAAATTCTTAAAATAGGGACACTTGTCTCACTCAGTTTCTCACCGAGACTTCTCAGCAGACTTTTAAAGCCAAACAGTTCCAAGAAACAAAAGCAGAACTGTCCCATTTCCCTATGGGTGTGGGTGAAAACTGGTAAGGAAACAACAGGACTCCAAGAAAAGCTGTGAAGACGGAAGGGGCTGGCTCTGGAGGGTCCCCGCAGGGCACAGGTGCTGTGCTGAGCCAGGGTCAGCGATAACACAGCACATGGAGTGGCTGGAGGCTGGGCCCGTGAATGAGTGCTCAAATGAGTGGGTCGGGTAGCTCAGTAATAAACACAGAACCTTTGCTGGGGAAACTCCTTAAACTATTTACAGAAGACAGTCCATTTAACTGAATTCCTAAAGAGAATTAATTAAACAAAAACTGGTATTGCTGCTACTATAGGCTCCAATTTGAAAATAAATACTTAATATTGTGATAACAAGGCATATTTTACCGTTTTCAACTTCAGGTGGGTACCTTAACTATAAAGTTGCTTTTAAAAAGAGGACTCTTAATAGTGTTTAACAATTGTAGTAATCAAATAAAGCGGTTAATATAAAACTAGAAAAATGCCGAGCATGGTGTGTGCCTGCAATCCCACCATCAAAAGGCTGAGGCAGGATGAGGAGCTTCAGGTGAGCCTGGGCTAGGCAAACCCTGTCCCCACCCCCAACACAAAACAGAAGACACCTAGAACAGTTAGCACAGAAACAGGGTTCCATCTGTCCAGTTCCCTCGTCTCCTCTGCTTTAGGACGGCTCCACTCAGCCCTGCTCTCCTTCAGGCCTGCTGCTCACAGTGGCTATTTGAAAAAAGGTGGGCCAGCAAGAGAGCGCAGCAGGTAAGGAAGGGCATCTGCCACCGAGAGAAAGGATTCAGCAAATGCTTTAAAATAAAATCATAAAAAACCAGATGTGTACTCCTTTAATCCCAGCTCTCAGGAGGCTGAGGCAGGTGGAGCTCTAAGTTCAAGGCCAGCCTGGTCTACTTAGCAAGCTCTAGGCCAACCAAGACTACACAGTGAGACCTTGTCTCAAAACAAACGAACAGTATTAAAACTTCCAAGCAATTTTATCAAATTCCCAGTACACTTTTATGCCTTTCTAGAAATGTAAGGTAGAATTAAAACTATTAATGCTGAATATTTAAAGTGGAATATTAGAGGTTTTGGAGTGATATATAGCCTAGAGATCCAGAGCAGATAAAGATTTTATTTTATAATTTAAATGTCTCCAATAATAAAAATAAAAAGATATCATTCTAAGGATACCTAAGGATTAAGATTCAAATGAAGAAGTTAAATATTCTAACTCCCATCCAGACATTAATAACAATTAAAACAAAACAAAAACAAACAAAAAAACCCAAAACCAAAATGTTTCTTCCAAAAACTGTGCCATTCCCAATTCTTGAAAACACTGATTATGACCTTATGCAGACAAAGGGCTACTGGAATCACAGCTGATTGACATTACTCAACCATATGACAGAAGGTCCAGACAGATGCAAGACGCCCTGTTACTATTTGATTAACTCCAGAACAGGTCAGGTCCCACCCGCAGCTCCCTCCCCAAGCCTCCAAGGAATGAATACCTTTTTAACTGATAAGGAAGGATCTTCCTGAGGAAGCGTACGTAGGAAGTTAAGTGGTCTGAAAACATTTTCAATTTCACAGTTGTCTCCTGGATAAAAACATAATTCCACAGTTAAAAGTGCTACCTGGCCATGAGAGCCCGAGTTTCCCACAATAAAACAAGGGGGGAAATTACCAGGACGGTCACAGTATCCTCGGTAATACTCTCGAATACATGCAGCATTCCTTCCTCAAGGGGGCGGACGTAGGACGCGTTTTCATGAAGGTATTGGGAGAACTGAATAGGGGAGAAGCGTTTGAATTAATTCCACGGAAAACAAGCATCAGCACTCAGGAGGGGGACTCGCTGACTTCACACTGAAATCCTTTTGAACACACTTCTGGAAAACCCCTCTAAAGCCCCAGATAAAATTCCCCGTCCCCATCCCAATTCAAATCAAGGAAGCAGAGGGGGGTGACAGTGAACAAGCAGGCAGCAGAGGGGACAGGTGACAGCCAGAACAGCACCCCGAAGAGCGCAGGGGCCCTGAACACTGGCTGCTCTGCAGGGGCCCCAGTGAGGAAAACACAGAAGGTTGGGAGGCCTTTGCACTATGCACCTCAGTTTTCCAAAGCGGCCCACCAGGCAGCTTCTTGTTTACTGCATACACTGTTCAGGGTTAACAAATGCCAGAATGTAAGCAAGGTGAGTTAAAATGTTCATTATCATCACTGATGTCATAGCATGCAAACAGAGTTGGGGACTGTGGCTACAGCCTGGGGCCATAGGGTGTGCTTGGCCTGTGTGAGGCTGGGGGGGGGAAATCCCAACATGGGGGGGGGGCAAATCCCTCTATATTCTGGACAATCTAGAAGCAAGGGGGTAAGACGCATTTATGTAACGTCCCAGCCAGCTGGGTATTTCCTAATGGCTCAAGTTTGAGCTGCTGCATATAGACACGAACTGTCCTCTACGAGACGCAGGTGACCTTGTGCGATGCACGGTGACACTGTCCTGCACAGCTCAAGCAGCTGGGCTCCACTGCCCACAGCTCTGAAGTCAGAGTTCCAGCTGCTTTAAGAGTCTAGAAACAGTTTGCCCCTTGGCCATCTTCTAGCAAAAGGTTTCCAAACCTTCAATGCTGGAGACTTTGTAGAAAAATCAGGGGGACTTTCATAGGCCAAAGTACTGAAGATGAAATACTGAGAAATACACAAAGTCTTCAAAAGAATGAGGAGTTCTAGACAAATTAAAATTACAACAGTTATTTTGATGAGGCTCAGTAGATTTGTGCAGTCACTGAAGTGGATGAAAACCGTGCCACCAAGGCACAAGAATGGTGGTGGCTAACTTCTGCCGAGCGCTCACTACACGCCAGGCACTCTGGTACTCCTTCCGTTACCTGTGGATATCTGTGACATGGGCAAGTCCCTCTCCCAATTCAAAGCAGAGGGGTTAAGCAAGTCTCCCAAGGGGACACAGCTAGAATGTGTCCTAAGAAGAAGTCCAACTTCAGAGTCCAAGTCTTTGCCACCTACTAGGCACTTTGGGTAACTGTAGACATGAGCATATCCAACCACTAGAACTACAAAGCTAGTCACCAAAAAAAAAAAAAAAAAAAGTTAGGTAGAGTCCGATTGTGGTTGATCACAGGTCACATTATCAAGCCCTCAGAGGACACATCTGTAACAAGGTCCCTCAGCTTCCCTTGTATGTGAGCTGGCCTCCAAGTTGACCTCAGTGACACCATGTATTCTTGCCTTTGCCTGCTACCCACTCATATTGTTTCAGGATTAGTCTGTGTGACCAATATCACAACGGGCATATGACAAGTGGGACTAGCCAACTGTCCCCAGAGACTATGGCTTCCATGTCTTTTGAGCCAAGCTCTCTGGGGGATGTTAGGTGTCAAGTCATGAGAACTTAAACAGAAGGGCCCAGGAGAAACAGGCTCCTGGGCACCAGCCAGCACTAACTCACCAGGCCTGTGAATAAACAAATCCGAGCCCCTCAGAAGTCCATCCCTCAGCCAGTGAGGCCTTCAGATGAAAGCAGCCCCAGGGACATCGTGTGTGTAACCCTATGAGAAGTCAGGAGCTGCAACTCCCTAGGTACCTGGTCCCTGAATTCCTCACCACAGAAACCAGGAGATAGCCAGTGTCTACTGTTTCAAACTACTACGTCCCAGGGAGCTTACTGTCCAGTTATACAAAATGAATATACTCATTAGCATTTCACCTTTACAGTAAAATAAAATTTTACACAGGGTGGTGAAGGCACACCTTTGATTCCAGCACTCAGAGGATCTCTGTGAGTTGGGAGCCAATCTGGTCTACAGAGTTTCAGGACAGCCAGGACTGTTACACAGAGAAACCCTGTCTCAAAATAACTAAGTAATAATAATAATAATAATAATAATAAAATTTTGCAGGCGTCCTTAAATCCTTTGTAGAATTCCTTGGGTAAGGAGGCACAGGGATTGTAGAAAGTAATGTGCAAAGCTCTTCTCCCTCAGCCAAGACCCACAGACCCTGAAAAGCTGTCACACTCAACGGGCTCCGCCCTTTCCCACCAGACGCCCGAACAGAAGGAAAGAGCAGGCCGACTGCTGGCTATCTGGCCCCACGACAGGTTCACAGCAACCACAGACAAGACAGAAACACGCCAGCTAATTACCCCTCCCAGCAACAAGACAAAACCTCCATTCTGCCCAGCGCTGTCAAAATGCTGCCCGGGCCAAAGGGAAGGCCTCTGCCTTGGCCGGCCTCAGGGGCCTCCGAAAACAGCCACTTTGCTCTCCTAATTTCCATCCCATTCCTCCCCTCCAGGGACTTCACATTCCAGCCAGAAGTTCACCCAGCACACCCTCCCCACATTCCCCCAAGTTCAGCCCCACCCACCATGCTTTCCTGCTTCACGTTTCTTTCTTTCTTTCTTTCTTCCTTCCTTCCTTCCTTCCTTCCTTCCTTCCTTCCTTCCTTTCTTTTTTTTTTTTTTTTTTG